AGCAGGAGGAGGGTTCTTAGCGCAATACTCAACAACAAAGTAAGGAACGAGCGTTCACTCCTTTCAAAGATCTTCCGGCGCCGAGCACCTCCTCGTCGGTCAACTCAAGGGCAGGGACCATACGAGAAGGATCCTCTGCCCCAGAGTACTCAAAACCAAAGTTTTCTCGCTCCTTAAGAGGTTGGACTCGACGGCGAAGAAAACTAGAAATAATACCAAGGCCGGTCAAACCTTGCTGTTTCAGAGTACTTATCCTCTCAACAAGCGTCTTGATCGCCTGGTTCTCATCCTCCGTCAAGAGTTTCTTTTCCCATCGATCGTTAACCGTGGGACCAGAAGAAGAATGAACGGAAAGAGGAGGAATCATGTTGGCGGAGTAAAACCACTCGGAACGCCAATCCCTCACAGAGTCAACTAAGTCATAATCAAATAATTTAATTTTGAGACCCTGACGGAACTTAATCCCACACCCACCAAGAACAGAAGTGTCATCACGGCGGAGTTGTGGTTTCAGACGAAAGAAGAAACGGAAGAGGGAAAGAGAAGGAGGAATTCTAAGAAAGGTTTCGTAAAGATGAACAAAGACAGAAAGATGAAAGACATCATTGGGGGTAAGATGGTTCAAAGTAACCCCAAAATAATTAAGGAATCGATGGAGGAAGGCAGAAGCGGGAAGGCAGAGTCCAGCACGGACAAAGGAGACAAAGAGGACGATCTCACCAGGACCTGGAGCAGGGACCCAATGCTCGCCTGGAGCTCTCCATTCAGCAATGTCCTTGCTCTGGATCAAGCCGTCGCTAACAAGCTCGCGAAGCTGGTCTTCGGTTGTTGTTGGAGCCGGCTAAACCTTCTGGGCAGCCCTCATGGCCATGAACTCTTGGTTCTCAATCAAAGAAAGGGATGACTCCTCGTCCACGAAGGCTGCCTGGGACTTGTTCGCGGCTTTCTTCCTACCCATGAACTAGCGGAAGCGAAAAGGCACAAGGGAAAGACGAAGCTAGGACGGCGACGCTCGGGTGACGGCGACAATGGCGGCGGCGGATTTCTGAAAGTTAGGGTTTCAAGGCAAGAGCAGGGCAGTAAAGAAAAAGAAGATAAAATGTCTTTAAATAGATTTTACAGCGATAAAAACGGCCCACCAGGTCCATTAAAACACGGTGTGGGAACGCAACGGTCCATTTACTGACACAGCTAAAATGACGAACGGCACAAATCCACACAACGTTATAGTTTAACGGGCAGATTTCAGACTTATCCATCCAGCACCACGGCAGAGTTATCAAATTACTACAAGAACAACCCATCAACCATGAAGAAACGAAGGGCTACCTCACAAGGAACAAAAGAACCCAGTTCTTACAGAAAGAACTCGAGAATCTCATGAACAACCAGGATTACAGCAGAAAAATGAATGACAACTCAGAAGACAAGATTCTTTCCATTACAAGTGGCTTCAAAAAATAGAAGATTACACATCTTACAAGATCCAACGAACTCGGTACTACGACAATCAAGGTAGCAAAGAGGAACCCGGACACAACTAGGCTTTGGAATGACTACGTGTCCCAAATTACTACTCAGTAGAACAAACCGCACTCGGCTACACTGTTTTCTTCAAAGGACGGACGCAGTGCATCCAAGGCGGAAATCAGCAGCACGGCGGGACAACATAGATCAGGGAAAGTCGGCAGGCATCTGTCTACCCAAGCCCGACGTGATGCAGGATCAGGTGTTGATCTGCACCGGACAGTCGCTGGGCGAGCAAGGAAGATCAACCCAGAACTGCTAGATGAAGGAACGCATCCCACATCATAAGACTTTCTCCAACTACCACCATGTACTTCCAAGTACAATGCTGCTGCGGGATTAGTCTACCTCTAATCCGTATCACAAGACTTCCTCCAGCTACGATAAGACGCACAGGAAATACAAAATACGCCCAGGGGCTGCTCTACTTCATAAACTACCATATTTATGACCACGAAGGCTTCAACAAAATGTTCAATGGATGAAAACAAGCACTCCGGGAGGGTATTTATAGATCGAAGGAGCGACGCACATGGACTAGGAGTATCAACGAAACAAACCCAACAAAGGACACAGTGAAAAGACATGACTCAATAATGGAGGACTCAGACGAGAAGGAACAGTACTCGAAGACGAGCATATTCGGAAGAATATGCCAACGCTGTACAACCCGTGAACATGCAACATTTACTCTCAACCACCACCATATAACTACACCTGACAAACGGCAGACTACCAGAGAATACGTCAAGACAATGCATCCGAGTTCTTTTTTCAAAGAACCCGGATAAATACTCAGAGGCTGCAATAGGGGAAGATTTTAGTTCCTCGAACAAATCAGACTCAAGACCCTCCAACTCTTTGTTCCAAATAGCAAGAGGCTCGAGGGCTACACTCAGTGAGTGCCCTTTTTTTTTCAAAAAAAGCGCACATCACTCGAAAGGCTTTTTTCAAGACAGCAATTTATAAACAACATAAGATTCAAGACCCTCCAGCTCCTTGTTCCAAATAGCAAGAGGCTCGGGGGCTACACTCAGTGAGTGTACTTTTTTCTTCGAAAAAGTGCACGTCACCAAGAAGACTTCTTCAAGACAAAACTACTTCAAGGACTCATGACAAAAAGAAGCCGGATCGAGCTATATCCGAGTTCTTTTTGACAAAGAACCCAAGTACATGCTCGGAAACATTTCAACAAAGGATCAGAGCGATTTCAAGACAAGACCCTCCCACTCCTTGTACCAAATAGCAAGAGGCTCGGGGGCTACACCCAAAGGGGAGTACTTTTTTCTTCAAAAAGATACACACCACGCGCAGATCTCACAGAGCGCTATACGGTTTCGCTCAAGAAAGCACTCGGACGATGCTTGTTCCTGCTCGGCAAGACCTGAAAGAACAAGACGAGGCTTCCAGAGCACAACCATGAAGTGCTCGGGGGCTTGTCGGTGCGGGACCCACAGGATACTCCGCAAGGAAGAGAGAAGATCTAGTCTAACCAGGATTCTCCCCATGTAATCTTAGTAGTAGTATTATTCTGAATCCTATTAGGAACTCTCATTGTAAACTGACTAGGATTCTGACCTCCTGACTATATAAAGGAGGGCAGGAACCTAGAGAGGACAACTTTTGCAACAACGCAACAACACACAATCAATACAACGCAGAGGCTAACGCCGACTAGACGTAGGGCTATTACTCGATCAACGATCGAGGGCCCGAACCAGGATAAATCGACTGTCTCTTGCGTTCACCATCGAGTTCCGCATACGCTGAAGCCCGAACATACTGTCCTGGATAACCCCGTGGCAGGCTATCGGTGGTAAAACATCGACATTGACCAAAGCTTGGAAAACACTTAACTTCCATTCAGAAGTTCCTTTTACTTAGGCTCTCGTGGTCCGTTAAGATTTCATGAACACGCTCAGCTCCTGACAGTTTTGATGTATGTATGAGATTCTTAGTAGATGATGGTTGTGATGAATCTTCTATTGTAGGGAGAACAAACAACATGAACTCATCTTCATTTTGTGATCGTCGTCGATAGTTTGTATCCATGACTAACACAATGGAAAACCAACTAGGGATACTCAAATATGTTGCAGGTTCACTTTACAGATGTTTACCACCTAATATATAGTAGATACCAAACAAGGAAATAAGTTGTCCATCCATACATAAATAAAAGTTCATATATATTTATAGAAATTGAAGTTCAGTTATGAGACTTGTGACTTACCAAATGAAGTGTTTGTGCCGGTCAGATCTCTTGCCCTGCTTTGTGACCAATCAGATTTGGAGAGGAGCTAGTTGTATGTGAAGAAGGCTTTCTTGTGGTGTTTTGTGACTGAGCAAATGTGGAGATGAGCTACTTGGTCTCTTCAGGATGCAAATAAGAAGGTTGCGTTTGTATACTGCTGCATGTATTTATAATAACTCCATGTAACGGCTAGTTGTCTGATTTGAATGCAACGGCTAGCAAAGGGTTTCTCAAACGTGTAAAGAAATCCTGTGTTTTTCCTATGGTGCTGTCAAAGAGCTGCTGATTCACTTTCCTGTGTTTTTTATCCCTATAAAATTAGAGAAACGTAGCACATGGATTCCTATGTTTTTTGTATGCTCGTATGTTTCCTATCCTGTGATCAAAGAGGCCCTAGCTTGGACGTCATGGAATTTTTCCTGGCGGGAAACGAAGTGCGCGCCCGTGCTCAGTGCGCGTTCTTTTTTTGGTTGGCAGCTTCTAGTGAGCCTTACGTGGGCTGCTTTGGGTCATTCCAAAGGCAAACAACAAAAGCCAAGGAGTAAAAAAAAAAAGAGCCAACGAATACCAGCAGAGGTTTCTGAATGGCATTCATGTACTCCTGTACAGCACACACGTGGAAAAAACAAAAGAACAGATCTGCTAGCCCTGACGATGGATTTCATGAGAGATACCTAAAATTGAAGGAAGAAATAGATCGATTTGCTGCTATTGAGGACAAGAAATTAGAGGAGATCCGTATGAGCAAGTGATTCGGAACCAAAATATTTCAGGCATAGATTCTCATCTTATTGCTTCCTACTTTTCTTTGTCTTTTTTGAGTTAATTCTCTTTTTAGCGCAACAAGTTAATATGGGCTATAGAGTTCCTAAAAAGTTTAGAATTTTTAAGCATATTGTTATTTAGTTTTTTTGGAAAAACATCTTATAAATTAGAATGTGATCTAAGATCCAAACAGTTTCTTCAGACGTTTAGGAGTATACGAGATTGCAATGCCAAACACAACTTAAATCCGATCCGGGTCCGTTTTTGGTTTGCCTTCTGTACCGGAAGCCCACGGGCCCAGTCCATGCTAAAAAACACGGGCCCGCCCGCGCCAGCCTCTCGTACCCTAGACAATCCCCTCTCAACCCCCAAGCGCGGCAGACGCACGCGCCAACGAACGCGAGAGCGCCACCGCACGCCACCAACGAACGCGGGGGCGACGCCGCACGCAGATATGGCCGTCGCTTCCGCGTGGGCCAAGCCTGGCTCTTGGGCCCTCGCCGCCGAGGAGCAGGACGAACTGCCCCCGCTGGCTCCGCTCGTCGTCCCCGCCGCTGACTTCCCCGACCTCGCCACCGCCGCCACCACCAAGGTCCCCAAGAAAAAGAAGGCCCAGCCCATCCCTCTTGCCGAGTTCAACACGGGCAAGTACGTTCTGCACTCCTCTCGCAGGCCCGCCTCCGAAGAGATTCCCGACCTCCCCAAGGAGGAGCTCGCGAGCGCACCGAGGAGGAGCTCGCGAACACTCGCGGCTTCGGGGCCGCGCGCTGGGGCGGTGCCGGAGGAGGTCCCCGTAGTTCCGACGAGCCGCGGCGCGGGGGATCAGACCGCGAGGACATCGCCCCGTCGCGCGCAGATGAGGCTGACGATTGGGGTGCTGGCAAGAAGCCCTTAGAGAGGAGGGAGAGGATGGGAGGATTTGGCATGGATTCGTCGGCGTCACGCGCTGATGATGTCGGAGACTGGGTGTCCACCAAGAGGACGGCTGTTGCCCCATTCCCTGAACGCAGGGAGCGCGTCGGTGGGGGTTTCGGAGGCGACTCGCACTCTCGCGCTGATGACTCAAGCTGGGTTTCCAACAAGAGCTCTTCTGTGCCACTGCCACCCCCACCTGCTGACAGCAAGAGGGGTGGGCCAGTTTGGGGTTTCAACAGAGATGGTAGTGCTGATGCTGATTCTTGGTGTAGGAGGGAGGAGATGAGTAATGTTGGTGGCAGCTGGGCTGGTCGGCCCGGTCTCAATTTGCAAAAGCAGACGTTGCCTCTTTGAATTGCACTGATGGAGATAAGTTGGATAATACAGATGGGAATGAGGATAACAAAGAGAAGGGAGAGCAGATACCAAAAAGCAAGTCTTCAAACCCGTTTTGCGCAGCCCGCCCTCGTGAGGACGTCCTTGCTGCGAAGCGGCCGGACTGGAGGGAAGAGCCTAAAGTGGATAAGTTAGAGATTCAACCGAGAGCTAGATCTTCCAACCCATTTGGAGTTGCTCGCCCACGTGAGGAGGTTCTTGCTGAGAAGGGGGAGGATTGGAGGAAGATTGATGAGAAACTTGAGGCGATGAAGGCGCGGGAGGCACTGCTGGAGAGGTCCTTTGGGTGGAGGGGTTCCCCAGCTGTAGGAGAGGAGAATGGGAGTGCTCAACTACCAGTAACTCGGGCTAAAAGAGCTGGGAAGAAGCCTGATGCAGTTGCAGCTGCAAACGAATCTGAGGAAGGGTTTGACAATTGATATGATCCTACTTGAACTTTGATTTGTTCTGATTTTTTGACCTCTTGCATGCGTATCTTAGTAGCCATGGTTGGTCAGATCCTAAGGTTTCTTTTTTGTGTTTACTCTATGTTCTGGAAACTTTCTTATTGTTCAATTAAGTTGTTTCATGAGATGGTCATTTTTAGTCTTTGCTAGCATTGTTGTCCCTGTCCTTGTGATTACATAAGGGAATAAAATAAGCGCTAACATGTTCTGATGTTCATATTCTTTTCTTTTATGGATGTATGGATTGTTATCAGTTGCTTACATATGGCCTTTAAGTGAGGTATTAGTTAACATGCTGGAGTTTTTATTCAGGTGTAAAGTAAAAGGTGGTGTAGCTGTTATATTAACTACATCCTAGTTAATAAGAAACAAGTTATATTCACATGAAAGATAACGATTTAACTGGTCATGGTTGTTATTGTCTACTCAAGAAGGCTATTGTTTATATGATCCATGATTGAGTGGCTGGAAAATACATTCTTTAAGTATACCTGTAATTGGGTATAATGATGTTTATCTAAATGGTAATGAGATAAATGTAAATTCCAAAAGCTAAAAATGTTAAAAAGGAAAAAAAAAAAAGGTATGCCTTGCCTCATTTCCTTGGTCTAAGATGTACTGAGGAACAGATATCCAGATAACATTTGATGGTTATCATGTGTTAGAAGTCTATAATTCTAGTCTGTGAATACTTTTGGGATCTGAGTTTGAAAAGAAGCATCTATATCTGAATTCTGTTTTCTCCTTTTCTGTTAGCATAAAGTTTACAACAACAACAACAAGAACAAAGCTTTTAAGTCACAAACAAGTTGGGGTAGGCTAGAGTTGAAACCCAGCAGAAACAATCAAGGTTTAGGCACGTGAATAGATATTTTCCAAGCACTCCTATCTAAGGCAAAGTTTTTGGGTATATTTCATCCTTTCAAGTCTCCTTTTATTGTCTCTACCCAAGTCAACTTCGGTCTTCCTCTGCCTCTCTTCACGTTACTATCATGATTTAGGATTCCACTACGCACCGGTGTCTCTGGAGGTCTCCGTTGGACATGTTTAAACCATCTCAATCGGTGTTGGACAAGCTTTTCTTCAATTGGTGCTACCCCTAATCTATCACGTATATCATCGTTCTGAACTCGATCCCTTCTTGTATGACCGCAAATCCAACGCAACATACGTATTTCCGCAACACTTATCTGTTGAACATGTCGTCTTTTCGTAGGCCAACATTTTGCACTATACAACATAGCAAGTTTGATCGCCGTCCTATAAAACTTGTCTTTTAACTTCTGTGGTATCCTTTTGTCACATAGGACATCAAATGCTTGCACCACTTCATCCACCCTGCTTTTATTCTATGGCCAACATATTCATCAATATCCCCGTCTCTCTGTAGCATTGATCCTAAATGTCGAAATGTATCCTTCCTAGGCACTACTTGACCTTCCAAACTAATATCTTCCTCCTCCCGAGTAGTAGTGCCGAAGTCACATCTCATATACTCAGTTTTAGTTCTACCGAGTCTAAAACCTTTAGACTCCAAAGTCTCCCGCCATAACTCCAGTTTCTGATTCATTCCTGTTCGGCTTTCATCAATTAGCACTACATCGTCCGCGAAAAGCATACACCAAGGGATGTCCCCTTGTATGTCTCTTGTGACCTCATTCATCACTAAGACAAACAGATAAGGGCTCAAAGCTGATCCTTGATGCAGTCCTATCTTTATCGGGAAGTCATCTGTGTCTCCATCACTTGTTCGAACACTAGTCATAACATTATTGTACATGTCCTTAATAAGCCCGACGTACTTCGTTGGGACTTTATGTTTGTCCAAAGCACACCACATAACATTCCTTGGTATTTTATCATAAGTCTTCTCCAAATCAATTAAAACCATGTGTAGGTCCTTCTTCTTCTCCCTATACCGCTCCATAACTTGTCTTACTAAGAAAATGGCTTTCATGGTTGACCTTCCGGGCATGAAACCAAATTGGTTCATAGAGACCCGCGTTATTGCTCTCAAGCGATGCTCGATAACACTCTCCCATAGTTTCATAGTATGGCTCATCAACTTAATTCCCCGGTAATTAGTATAACTTTGAATATCCCCTTTATTCTTGTAGATTGGTATCAATATACTTCTCCTTCACTCGTCAGTCATCTTGTTCGATCGAAAAATATGGTTGAACAGCTTGGTTAGCCATACTATAGCTATGTCCTCGAGGCATCTCCACACCTCGATTAGGATACCATCCGGTCCCATCGCCTTACCTCCTTTCATCCTTTTCAACGCCTCTCTGACCTCAGATTCTTGAATTCTCTGCACAAAGCGCCTATTGGTGTCATCAAAAGAGTCATCCAACTGAAAGGTTATATCCGTATTCTCACCATTGAATAATTTGTCAAAATACTCTTGCCATCAATGTCGGATCTCATCCTCCTTCACCAAGAGATGCTCCCTTTCATCCTTAATACACTTAACTTGGTTGAAGTCCTTTGTCTTTCTCTCACGAACCCTAGCCATCCTATAAATGTCCTTCTCTTCTTCCTTCGTACTCAAATGTTGGTAAAGATCCTCGTACGCTCTACCCTTGGCCACACTTACAACTCATTTTGCAGTTTTCTTTGCCACCTTGTACTTCTCTATGTTGTCCACACTCCTGTCATGGTACAAGCGTCTATAGCATTCTTTCTTCTCCTTAATAGCCCTTTGAACTTTCTCGTTCCACCACCAAGTATCTTTAGCCTCGCCTCCACTTCCTTTGGTTACTCCACACATCTCTGAGGCCACATTCCGAATGTTGGTTGCCATCTTCTCCCACATGTTGTTTATGTCTCTTCTTTCTTCCAAGAGCCCTCTTTGATAACCCTTTCCGTGAATACCTCTGACGTCTCCCCTTTCAGTTTCCACCACTTTGTTCTTAAAACTATTGTCTCCAACATGTTAGCATAAAGTTTAGGGTTTTAAAATTGTACTTGGAGCTGTTACACTATAATTTGCAATCCTTAAATCAAGCAATTTGCAAAGTGGGGTGCTATAACTTATTGTGACCCTGAGTCCAAACTATTGTTATTACAAGCTTTAATCTTTTAATTAATCTTACACAATGTTACTGACAGACAGAAGCCACATTATCATATCAATATCTCGTTAAATTTTCCATAGCAAACCTGTGTGTAGAATAGTGATTTACTGTTCAGGTGAAAACTCAAAATTTGAATTTTGGAAGAAGGCAATGTTGCATGTGCGTCTTCTCTCCATAATTATCTTTGTTAAAATTTGGTATTAATGCTTCTTGTTAGAATAAATGCACATGATGTTTAGTAATGTAATACAAAGCATTTTGTCAAATTGGGCAATAACACAGTGGAGTAATAATGTTATTTTTTATTTTCATTTGTGCAAAGGGGTATCTTTTGGTTTATGCAATGACATGGTAACATGTGATTGTTTGTGACTTCTGACTAAGAACCGATTGTTTTACATCTTTTTACCGCATTTAGTTCTGTTGCATTTGAGACAGCAATGTCTTTGTGATCTATAGCAACTTCACTAGATCTTTTGTATTGTATCTCTTATAAGTTGTGTAAGTTGTTTTTAGAAGAGTATCTTAAAATTAATACACAATATAATAGAGCATTGATACAATAATATATTATCTAAAACTTGTCTCCTATAGGGAGAGTGGAGAGGGGTTGTCTCTTTAAAAATTATAGGTACAGGAGATGAGATGAGATGAGAGATCTGCTACAGCACTCCATCTCCTAAAATGATACTTTTAGAATCTGTTTGGATCATAGCTAGATTGCTATAATTTAGATTATACACGGGACTATTATAATCAGGATTATGGATTATAATAATCTAAGTGTTGGGGTCCCTAAATTATAGTGATTTTATTATGGTTTGTTAAAGTGGGAAATTTCTTATTTTGTCCATTAGTTTGGTATGAGTTGGACAACTGATTGGGGGCAAGTTTACACTTTCAGCATCCATAATCCCCTAAAACCTGGTCCACCTAGAATATGGGATTATGGAAATCTGGGGTTTTAATTATAATAATCCATCATTTAATTAACCCTATTTGGATAAAAATTTGATGGGATAGGATGTGATGGAGACGCTCAAGCTCATCTTATGCATTGTCCCTGTCCTTTGTGCAATTGATGTGTGGCTGAAATTTGTTTATGCATTGCTAATATTGTCTGACGGTGCATGTCTTTGGGCAATCTCTAGAATTTAATTTTAATTGCAGAGATTAAACGGACGGTGAGAGCAATCCAGCGAATTAATCCAATGCCACGGTCTTGGTGCACAGGCGTTTTCAGTTTCAACACGATGACAAAAACAACTACTCCGTATTATACATGTTTGTTTTTTTTTACTCGCGCCGGCAGTTGTAACGCCTGTTTGGAATGAAGTGCAAACTGAAGTGAATGGAGGAACTGTTATTCAATTGACCAGTTTTGATGTACTACCTCCCGTCTAGCAAATGTCATTCTGGTTTTGTCATGTCAAATAATCTTTTCTTATGTCAAACAATCTTTATTTGACTAAGTTTATTTCTACTTATATATCTCTACAACTAAAAAGAAAAAAAAAATAAAGTAAGACCGCTATTTCGTGACAATCGTCGCTCCGTCGGTCCGCCCCTCACTTGGGATACCGCGCCGGACGAAAACCACCTGCGACCACCCCCACCCGCGATCAGCGGGCCGCGATAAAGGAAGGAATCGCGGTGACAAAGGAAGAAATTGCGAAGGCATCGCTGGGTAATGAGGAATCACCGTCGCCTTGATCTCCCCATCTGCTACCGCCAAATAGTCCAGGACCTGTCGTGAAGGCTGTCCACAGGGAGTTCGTCGAGGACCGCCTCCGGGAAACGTCACGTCGCCGCCTACGGAAGGCTGCTGCTGCCGTCCTGTCTCCGAGTTCCAGACGGGACTGATGTCATCGATTCAGCAGGAACGGGAGTTGCTCGGCGGCGCACACCGCGCATCGACGACGGGCAGGGTCGCGCGGCTGCAACGCTGGCGCATCAGCGGCGGAGCCAATTCGCGAGGCCGCGATGCCTTCGCATCGGGTCGGAGCGGGTCGCGTGATTGAGCCCCATCTGTGCCTCTCCCATTCTCCTATTTTTTGTCTCAAACAGATCAGAGCTCCCCCAAGCAGGCCATGGGAGACGATGCTCTGAGTAGATCCTCGCCGGCAGCAGTATGTAGGGGTGGGGCTCACCCTCCCGAACTCTCGGTGGCCAGTCCCATGGCAGCGGTAGGGACAAAGTGGATCTTGGTTGTAGATCCGGGTACGCGAGGATGACCGATTCCATTTTGTGTTTTATATTTATTTCGGATCCCAATTTTTTGATGGTTTATTACTGCCAATCTGGATTTTTTTACGACGGGGGCAATGTTTGAGTTCCGTAAGCTGCTCGTGGAGAAATCATCCATCCATATCTGCATCGTCCATCAACCTAGAGGTTTGTGATTTCCTTAGGCTACTATTAATTCACCATACATCATATGGTTGCTTTTGGGGGTTTGTGTTGCTGATAAATCCATGGCACAGTGAATCGTCCCTGCTATTTTCATTTTTTTAATGACGATTCACCAGGTTCCTTCACATTGATTCATCTTGATTTAGGTAGCTCTAAGCCTCTAGCTTTGTTGTGTGTTCATGGTTTCATAAAGTTTGTGGATATAGTGTGAAACTAAAGTCATAGCTTGTTTCATCTTATAATAGTAACTGCCTGGATTCAGATTATCGTAAACTTTGGTTCTGTACCAAATGAACATCAGGCTGTCTTTTGGTATTTTGCCAAATAAATTATGTGTTTAGGTACGACTAGGCTAGATCATTGTCTATTAAAATCTGTAGTCATCTTTTACCATTCCTGTGCATGGTATTTGGTATATCCATTTTTCAGAACAACGTCCTGTTAGTAAAGCCACATCATGGGACTACATTCAATTTCGATCCCTTGTATTGAAATTATCTGGACATTGTTCAATCCTAATTTTCTTTCACAACAAATGCAGGAAATTGGTGCATCTGAACAGCTCACAGCTCTTCTTCTATAGACTTTACCACCCAATCATCAGTAACAACAGGCTCCCTGCTGGACATAGCACACTATTGTAACTTCTATTAATTTTGTAGTGAATGCAGGTGATAAGGGTCGGAGATCACCAACAGCAAGGTACCGATGGAAACCTCCTCGGGGTGGCCCGATCTTCACGACAGTAGGTTGGAAATCACAAGATAACTTGCTGCGAACAACGGAGGATAACTAGCTTTATACCTGCCAAGGTTGGACGCGACCAAGCGACGGGGAGAGAGAGACACCGAAACCGCGATGACTTCGACTCGATCTCCGAACGACCGCAGAACCACGACCGGAGCTAATCCACACAAGGCAGGGCAGCCGTACTGGAACCCGCAAAGCACGAACTAGTGGATCCTAGAGGAATCTCTTCACAAGTCCAGGAAGAACAAGGAAGAACAAGGGTTTGAGTAAGTACTCGGCAGCTCGGCTGCAATATCACTGGAATTATCAAATCATTCAAAAGTCCTTTTCTAGTAGCCTAGAGGTGGTATTTATACTATGAGAAGTTTCTAAGATAGATGTGAACTGAAGAAGCCATGTTGGAAGGTGGAACGACTAGAGCATTCACGAAGTGGTCTTCAGTTTCCGCGTGTCTTCTGGGCTTCTGGGCAGTCTTTAATGTTTTGGTCATAACTCCTTCCACGAATTATTGTAGAATGGTACAGTTTTTGCACGGACTCTTTAGCTTCATGCAGACTATTGAGCTTCGGAGCAGTCTTCACTAAAACTGGTCGAACGCCCAGCTCTTCTCTCTGATCCATCCTTGATGTATCCTTGTCTTCCTTCTCGGAGAACCTGAGTAATAACAACATGCACGACTTAGGTAGCTCGAAATTATCATTAATGTTTAATTGAAATTCACAAAGTAGCGCGTGCACCTCTTGTTGTATCTTTTTGGCATGGCTACGGGTGATTGGTCCTGTAGGGACTTGAAGGGGTGTATCAGCTGGTGAGGTGGTCGGAGAGGTTGCCGAGGTCGGTGAAGTGATCGGAGAGGTCGCCGAGGTGGTCGGAGAGGTGATCGGAGTGGTCGGAGAAGTGGTCGGAGTGGTCGCCGAGGTTCCTGGAGTGGTCGGAGAGATGGTCGGAGTGGTCGCCGAGGTCTCCGACGCTGGCGTGGTCACATCAGCAGGTAGCGTTTCCTAATTAGTATAAATCTCTATTCATTCATGTAACTCAGGGACATCATGCACACTATTCTGGCATGCTGGCAATGGATCCACGAGGGATGATGTGGCCTCCCGAGTCCCGACATGCATGAACTGCAGCCTTGGTGTTGGATTTGTGACGATGAAGCTTCTTCCTTGAGCAGTGCTTGACCAATCCACAAAGCAGGTATGACAGAGATTTTATTGCAGTGCTATATTTTTCCCATGCTTCTTCAAACTATATTGCAGTGCCATATTTGCAATAACCTAATAATTTAGTTACAACTTTCCAAAGCTTATCCAATAATCGAATAGTTCAAAGCTTCAGTTAAATTATATATTATTATATATAGCTCTGAATTTCCTTCGTACTAATCAGTGAGGACTCCATCAGTTCAAATGCCTGATGTTACCTTTTACTAACTTCTTTGGAGTTTTTACTTTCAGACAAGAAATATATATACACACATAAGCTGCTGGTGTTGGTGATAGGTGGATATGCCAAGGGCAAGATGGACGTGATGAAGCCCTGGATTGACAAGCGGGTCACTGAGCTCCTTGGGTTCTAGGACGAGGTTCTCATCAACTTCATCTATGGCCTCCTCGAGGAGAAGGTATTTATTCAAGTCCAGCAATGTTGCTTGTTTATATTGTCCTTGTTGAATTGTGTTTGCATATTTTCCGGGAGGTATCAAATTTTATTGCATCTGGTTCTTTGAAAAGATAACAAACCTGGTACACGTAGGCATGCCAGGATAGAGCTGATTTAGTCTAATCAGCTTGACCATTTGTGGTCGAGCTTATTGAAAAGATGCAGCTTTGTATTATGTTTTAGTTCAGGAGTCCAATGTTGCTCAGCCGTAGAATTGGATTTTTGTTAATGTTATCTGAAGTCAGGTACAAGCCAAGTACAGATAGTATTGTTTCTTCTATTTTTAACATTAATTTGCCTGTATCAAAGATGGTAGATTATGGCAATGAGGTGCGTTATGCCTTTGTTTTTTAATGGCAGGAAGCGGAAGGAAAGAAGATTTAGATCCAACTGACAAGGTTCATGGAGAAGAACACAGTGAAGTTCATGGAGGAGCTCTGGAGCCTCCTCGGTGCACAACAGAATGCCAGTGGGGTGCCTCAACAGTTTCTGGATGAAAAGGTGGCTGAGATTTATTTTTTTCAAATTGTATCCTTTTTTGTCTTGGAGAAACTGAACTTTGAAACTATGTAGTGTGTTTGTCAAAGTTCGATGCTTTACTATATTGGTTTAGATTAGTGATGATTTCCACTGTATTCTTGCTCTTGACCAGTGTCTAGGTCACCATCATAGAATAAACATTAATAAGCATTGTTAAAGGATTCAGTGAAAGCATTGTTTTATCATTGCAGCCTCATCCCAAATAAGCAAATTCGCCATATGCAGTAACTCAGTGGTGCCACTATGCTTTGTGAAATTGCACATGCTATTGTTATTAGCAAGCTTAATTGGGATTTTGTACCTTGAGTGTGTTGTGTGTCTTAATGAATATATGTAAGACGTGGATCTTAATGAATCTGATTGTTCATTTTGCTTTTTTATAAATTTATGTTGTTTTGTATTTTACCGTAGCACTAGCACAGGCACGCAACTATCAAGTTTAATAGATTGATTTAGATTTTCCATATTTTTCAAATCCGTAATGATAGGTTGTTTACCAAGTTTTATGAATGATTGTTTAATGTGTGTTAACCTAGATGTCGCCGTAGCATTAGCACGGGCTTTGATGAATGATTGTTTAATATGTGTTAACCTAGATATTGCCATAGCGTTAGCACAAGCAATATGTCTACGTGGAATAGACCAAAAGCCACACATATTTATATGGTGAGTATAACACTTTGTTTTTAGTTTTTATGGAATATTTTTTCAAGAGACGCAGTATTACCCAAGCGACAGGCACTAATATTGACATATATACTTAAGCCTGTGTACAGGATGGTATGGAGATACGGCGGAACTTATTTGTAGATTTATTGGTACATGAAAAAAATGGATATCGGAAATTTCTTCCTGCCGATATAAAACATTATCTTAGGCGTATCACGGAAAGGTCTATAAAGTAGAGTTTGTAAGCCTGTGACGCCGCGTTCTCCGTGACTGTTAATTTTACAAACTTTGCTTTTTGATTAAATGTCACTTTAACGTTGGTATTTAATTTTTACAGTATTGTTATCTTATCGTGCGATCCGTGTGTTTTTAGTACAAAATGTTAATTATCCCGTAGCAACGCACGTGCACGCTACCTAGTACTCTTGAAAAGCCCATGGAGGAATAGTCAACACCACCATCGCCCCGCGCTCCCTCTCTATCGCCCCACTCGGCAACCCTGTAGCCCGACGCACCGCGCACTCCACCAATCTGTATCACGACTGCCCCGTCATCGATCCATAGCACACTATCCTCCCCAATCGGTGTTGACTTCGCCTGCCCTCGATCCGTGGCATCCTGCCCTACCCAATCAGCAAGATCGCTCCGCTCAGTTGTGACTCTGACCACAAGCTCCAAGGCTCCCACGCCGATCTCCCCCTCCCTTCTCTCTTCTTCGAACTGCACCGCGAGCCCTCCTTGCTACCCGTTGTCACCAGCCTTTCCCACCGCCACTCCAGAAGCCGCCGCCATCGCCCATACGCTGCGCATCTGCTGCGGCCCTCGCTCTTGCACCTCGGCAGTCCGCCATGCATCTCACTCCCCTTCCCATTCCATCCTCTTCCTCCCTGACCACCGCCGCTTGCCCCTAGCTCCCGCAGCCGCCAGCCACCCTACGCTTTGTGGATCTTGTGCCGCTGAACAAACTTGAGGACTTCGATGAGATTCTCCATACATTCGGCACCGACGGAATTGATCTGCTGTCCAACCCCCTACGGAAGATACCCTATGAGCTACGGTCTGTTTGAGCTGTGGAAAGTCAGGATTCCATCATGTATACTTGCTAGGTTTATTTCCCGATGGTTTCTTCTAGGGTTTAAAGTTCAGTGAGAATAGTTTCATTAGTGACATCTTTCTGCTAACAGGATTAGACAACTTACACTTAACGTCTCTGTCCGATCCACTGTACTTGTTACAATCAGAAATTTGTAGATAGTCAGTATGCTCATAATTTTATGCCCTGTTCGCTTGGCTTAGCCGTACTTTTTCAGACAACGAATAATATTTTTCTGTCACAGTAAATCAGTCAACAGTACTTTTAGTCATGGCTTATCAGCAAGCGAACAGGGCATTGGTACTTGGGATCCCTATACCTCAATGTTGTCTGTCCACTACAGTTCTAAAAACCTGTAGATTCAGACATGAAACATGTCTAGTAGGCTGCTCGGTTGGTCATTATAGGAATTGTTTAGTCCTTTGTGACTGCACACCACCGATACTAAGGTGGTGTTTGGATCCTGTGACTAAAATTTAGGAGGTGTGTCGGGAGAATGTTGCATGGGTTGTTCGGATACTAATAAAAAAATAAATTACATAATCCGTCAGTACTCCACGAGACGAATTTTTTAAGCCTAATTAATCCGTCATTAGCACATGTTTACTGTAGCGCCACATTGTCAAATTATGGGCTAATTAGGCTTAAAAGATTCGTCTCGCAAATTAGTCACAAATTATGCAATTAGTTTCGTAATTAGTCAATATTTAATACTCCATGCATGTGTCCATACATTCGATGGGACAACGACTAAAATTTAGGAGGGGCAACCAAACACCACCTAATTTTGCTAGAGGTAAAAACCATTCGATCTTTTGTTCGAAAAAAAACATTCGATCTTTGCAGACTGAGAATTTTGATCTTTGCCGTTAGTCCCGAATCTAAGAGCATCTCCAAGAGTTAACAACAATTTCTTCCTAAAATTATGGAGTTTTCCAACTTGCAAAAAATTGTTGGAATGAATAAATAAGACCATCTCCAATAATTTCCAATGATTCGCTCTTAAAATATATAAGATAATTTTACATTAGAAATCATATATTATTTCTAAATTATCTCAACCACTTTTATATATTCTTTCTTTTATACATTTACATTAAGAACCATTTTCTACTCTTTATTTTTTTCCACGTCCTTCCACCTTTAAATGGGCCGATGGATACGCACGTGGTATCCACACTGATGTATCCGCACGATCGGTCTATTTTTCCAAGCGTAAAAAGATTAAGTGGAAATGGAGAACTGTTGGAGATAAAGTTTTTCCATTCTTGCCAAAAATACTAGATTGGAAGGCTTTATTGAGAACTCACTGATGTATCCGCGGGGTCTATTTTTCCAAGCGTGAAAAGATTAAGTGGAAATAGAGAACTGTTGGAGATAAAGTTTTTCCATTCTTGCCAAAAATACTAGATTGGAAGGCTTTATTGAGAACTCATGCTCTAACAGGCACTAATATCTATATCTTGATTTCGGCTACCTCGAAAACAAGGAATAATTAACTAAAAGTACAAGCTGCCAACTTGGACATAGTAAAGTTATCTGTACAATTAAGACCAGATACCTTATACAGCTTCCCCTGTAAAATAAATTCAGTATGTAGAGCATCTTCAAGAGATTAACTAAAAACATATTATAAATTTTATGATTTAGTTATTCTCTAAAATAAAAGCACCTTAAAAAATTTGGACTAATCCAACGGCATCTCTAAAAAATACTACTCCTATCACTTTTGAAATAAAAAATACTCATCTTGCTCTTCCTCTGCACAGCTCGCTCGCTTCCCCTGCACAGCTCGCTCCGTCTGCTTCCCCTGCACCATCCGCGCTGGATGCCACGGCCGGCCGGCCGCTTGCTGCCTCGCTCCGTCTCCTCTGGAGGCCGCCGTCGCTCGCTCGCTCCATCCTGCCGGACGCAGCTGTCGCCTGCCCATGAAGGAGGCCGCCACCGTTGCCCCCACGTTCGTGGGACTGATGACCTGCGGCGCCTACAGCGGGTGGTTCTTAAGCCATTGATAGGCGCTTCGGTCCACCAATCCGTCACAACCACCTCGGCGACCTTGCCTACACCTACCAGACGGGAGAATTGGTGGATTATACAAACCAATTCCTCCTAACATTAACCAAGGTAACGGGTCTATCCATTGCTCAACAAGTCATGTTATACACTGCTCGATCCACGCAGGAGGCCACCACCGTTGCCCCCACGTTCGTGGGACGGATGACCGCCGTCGCCTACAGCGGGTGCTTCTTAAGCCATTGACAGGCGCTCCGGTCCACCAATCGGTCACAACCACCTCGGCGACATTACCTGCACCTACCAGACGGGAGAATTAGACGACTATACAAACCAATTCCTCCTAACATTAACCAAGGTAACGGGTCTATCCCACTGCTCAACAAGTTATTAACATGGGATCACCAATGAAGCAACTCTAGCAATCATATCTAAGACAGATGTAATAGGATGCACTGGTTACTTCCATAAATAATACCTTATAGAATAAATAGTTATTAACACTAGGCAACTCATAAAACTGCAGTGCTCAAAGTTGGTTGTGTATCCAAAAGAAATCTTTATTCCTAATTAAACTTATCCCTTTGAAGATATGACCACATGTGAACGAGCAAGAACCAAATAATTCCATAGTAATACTCTACAAATTCAACAAATCTCTGTAACTCAGCTCTTGTAACATCCTCGCAAAACATTAACTTACTTGGAAAACAAGCCTCTTCTGACGCCGGTCTGGCAGAGGAAACTCAATTTTCCTGTCAAGTCTACCAGGACGCAACAGAGCAGGATCTAGAGTGTCTGCCCGATTAGTTGCCATTATAACCTTCACATTCACAGTTTGATCAAACCCATCCATCTGCAACATAAATAACCACATTACTAATTACTAATAAGAAATAAGAAGAACTAGTAGGAACTATAATCTAGGAAACTGTAGGAATTCCCAAAGTTAGCTTTTAGAGATAAAAGCTGTTTTCTAAATTCATTTCACATTGTTCTCTTTTCCAAAAGAACAGAAGTTCTCAAATTGGAATAATATAATGAAAATTGGTTATTTTAAATTGCAAACAACCACTTCTTCAATGTTTGAGGCCTGTTGCTAAATGTTTTCTAACATAATAATAAATCTGTTAAGCCCTAAAAGTTCATCCTGGTCTTCTAATAGCTAAGCTTTACCTGATCGAGTAGCTCCATAAGAATACGCTGAACTTCTCGGTCAGCACCAGTCTGAGCATCAAAACGAGCAGTGGCTATAGCATCAACCTCATCAATGAAAATGATTGCTGGGGCATTCTCCTTAGCCAAACGGAACACATCACGCACCATTCTAGGGCCCTAAAGGAGTAGAAAGATCATAACGCATCACGAATAGGACTGACAAATATTGAACAGACGAAAAGAACAAATTGCAAATTTTTATGTCGACGAAATGTATCTATGAATAACCACTAATCATACAAAGAATTAAGACATGCATAATGCTTGCACTAGTAAGACATGATACAGGAAAAACAATAAAATATTACTCCCTCCGTTCCAAATTGTAAGTCATTCTTTGGATAGGCATCTAGATATACACTATGTCTAGATACACACTAGATACATAGTAAAAGTTGTGTATCTATAAAAGCTAGAATAACTTAAAATTTGGAACGGGGGAGTAACAGTTATCTTGGTTACATTATATGTGGTACCCAATATAGATTGGGTTAAGAAGATAACTTTATGGACTATCACAGATACTGTTCCAATGAGCATGAAACCAGAATGCAACAATTTTGACACAGATGAAGAGCCCATTCAATAGCTCTATGGACTATCACAGAGACTGTTCCAATGCTAACATGAAACCAGAACACAACACTTTTGACACAGCTAAACTCAACCGCCTCCCGTATTTCTTGCTTTTGGATGTCGCGTCCTCCAATATCCTGCAGACCATAAGAAACCAATAAATTGTAATGCACTGAAACCAAGTGCATAGGTGTACTTCAAGAAATTAGAGCCAATTCCTTACAAACCACTAGAAAAGTTCCGAATTCCGTCTAGATGACCACTGAAAAAGTTCATGCCATTTATGTCATCATTTCATTTTTTTCACACCCTTCTATGCCACTGTTGTCTTGTCTGTTAGTTGAAGATGCCGTTACAACACACGTGGATGTCAGTTCTTTTCTAAAATGCCCATTTTAACCCCAGCTATGACTGGAGGCCAAGAGTCTGTTTCACCTTCACTCGTTCTCTCATCTTCCCCATTCCCCATCTGTTCCCATCAATCTGCCATCCTACCTGCTCTGCTGCGAAGCATCTGCTATAGAGATTTGAGACGGAGATCCGCTCGAGGAGAGTGAGGGAGGCATCAGGGCCGAGGAGCAGCTCAGGGATCACCCTGCTCGATCTGTGCATTCGACAAGCTGCATAAGCCGACAGGCAAGGCCGCTATGCCGCATGGCCACATCGTGCAGGATAGCGTCGAGTTCTTCAGCATTGGGGACTGCTACAGCAGCGGCGTATACAACTTGCTTCTCCTGTTCATGTGGTCGTTCATGTTGACAATGAATCACTAGTCTTATCCGTTCTTGCTTCTCCTGTTCTCTGGTTCTTAACGCTGCCAATGTCACGGAGAGCCCAAACATCCATGGCCACATTCATTTGAGGGTAAATGGACATTTCGTTCTTTAGTTAGGAACCGTTACACTAGAGCATGATGGCAGTGGCATAGAAGGGTGCAAAAAGATGAAATGATGGCATAGAAGACATGAATTCTTTTAGTGGTCAAGCCGGAATTTGGAACTTTTCTAGTGGCTTGTAAGGAATTGGCTCGAGAAATTAGATACCAAAACAAAACTGCAAAGAACCATATTTTGTTTCCTATTCAAAGAAATTCTTAAAACAATTGAAGCACAGATCCAACGATAATGTGGCACATAGCCTTAAAACCCACTGAACCTACAAAAAAGACGAAACCAATATGGTTCCCATTGCAGCAGAACCGTGATATTTTACATAAAATTGAACCAGTTTCTGCATAAATTTCCACCATTTTCCATAACTCATCTATTGAGATCGGAATAGAACCTGCTAGTATCTACAAATTGGAACAGAACCAAGTGAAACAATCCCCGTTTTGTTGTTTGAGGGCATGCTCGAAAACTTGTTTTCTGTGGTGCTACATGTTGACTGATTTGATGTCGTTTAAAACTTTAGTGATTCTTCCGTTTAGTGTTTTTTTACTTCCCACAATCAATGTTCAAAAAGGTGCTCGCCAAGGCCTGCTTACGCGCTAGGCGGAGGGGTTCCGCCTCGCCTAAGGGGGTTGGCGGAGGATAGGCGTGGCCGGGAGGAGGGCGGGCCGCTGGCGCGGCCAGGAGGCGGCGAGCAGCGCGGAGGAGGCTGGGACTGGGGCGGCGGGCGTCACGGAGGCAGAGGGGCGTCGCACGGCGCGGCCAGTCGCGACTTGCGAGTCGTGCGGCGAGCAGGAATAGATAAGGTTGGGAGGTGAGGTTAGGGATAAGGTTTGCTGTTCAGACTTGGGCTTGGGCTGTTTTTATGGGCCTTCTTGTATAACTCTTGACCCATTGTTCTCCTGTTTCTCCTTTTCTTTTAGACTTTGATGTAAATATGCATGGATATGGAAACGCCTAGAAAAACGCCTTAAAATGCCTAGGCTTGCTTCGCCTAGAAATCACCTAGCGCCTTTTTGAACATTGCCCACAATGCCCTTGCACTTCTCGTAGTCTCATCTGTGAGAATACCCATGACCCTTGCTTATACAAGTTAGAACCGCGTGTGTTCTTACGTCCAATGATGGTACGCTGTCCAATTCTAGTGCATATTCCCTCTGTCCCTTTTTAAGTGTTGCTATGGTATTTCGCTAAGTTTGACAAGGTTTGTAGAAAATATTAGCATCATTTGTAGCTTGAAATAAGTTTATTTTGAAAAATAGACTCAACAATCTATCTAATGATACTAATTTGCACCATAAATATTAATATTTTCTTGTATATATTTGGTCAAAGTTGAGTATGTTTGACTTCTCGGGAAGTGGGAAAAATGGACGGAGGGAGTATTGATGATGTGACTGTTATATAAATATACGAGAAGTCATTCAGGTGCGTGCAATAACATGTGTGTTCAGCTGCATAAATGGACACCGTTTGCTAGTAATAATTAGGAAAAGATGCAGCCTTTTGCAGGTTCTAAAAAATAGATTTTACCTATTTGTATACCATAACTAGGAAGACGCCCACTGCAATCAATAACATCGACAGATATGTGGAGCCTGACCAATGAAGAAGCAGAACTCTACTTCATATGGAAGCATAGACAGATCTAGGGCCCAGCCTGACTGATATATATACTCATAAGCACATTATGATTCGGGATAACAATGTAACGACCAAGTGATTTATCATCAGCTCTATAATAAGAAGTCAAATTAACCAAGGGCATCATGCGGATCCGGCAAATTCAAGGATACACTTACGATATATATACTCATAAGCACATTATGATTCGGGATAACAATGTAACGACCAAGTGATTTATCATCAGATCCATGATAAGAAGTCCAATTAACCAAGGGCATCATGCGGATCCGCCAAATTCAAGGATATACACTTACGTTGTAGGTGACGTTGGGCTTCTCCGACGATCCCAGCAAGGAGATGCTGGAGTCGGCCTCGGGCGGCAGCACGTCGACTAGAGCGTTGGAATGACGATGCAACGCGACGGACGCTGACGGCTTGGGCAGCTCGCGGTTGATGGTGCTGAGGATCCGCACGTAGTAGTTGATGCCCGTGGTAGAGCCCACGATGCCGTTGTTGCCGTCGACCATTTCCATAAACTGGCCGATGACGAGCGGTACGGACTGGATCCGCTTGACCTCCTCCTGCGCACGGAGGAGTTCGCGCTTGAGGTTCTTCTGTTCGTCTTTAACGTACTCCTCCTGGATCTCGACGAACTCCATGTAACGCTGGAGCGACTTGAGGCGGCCATAGAGGTCGTCCTCCTCCTCGACGGACGTGGCCACGGAGGCTGAGGCAGTAGAGGAGGCCGGGTACGACGGAGGGGGCGCCATCTGAGTGGCCACCGGAGGGGCAGGGCCGGTGGTGGCGGCCGACATCGAAAGGCGAGGGTTCGGGTCTCGACTTGGGTTCGACTTTGGGGATCGGGTATCGATAGAATTCTACGATATTTATTTCCTTTACGCGTCGATAAATTCATAAATAAATTTTACTGTATCTACATATAATTATGTACACATAGGTTTGAATATATATATATATATATATATATATATATATATATATATATATATATATATATATATATAAATAGGTTCGTGTCCGTGCGTCGCTACGAAACAGCTAAACTTTTGTACTAAAAACATACGGATCGCACGATAAGATAACAATACTGTAAAAGTATATGACCGACGTTAAAGTGACATTTAATCTATAAAGCTAGGTTCGTGAAATTTACATAGTCACAGAAAGCATGGCGTCGCAGGCTCACAAACTCTACTGTGTAGATCTTTCCGTGATGCGGCTAAGATAATTTTTTATACCAGCAGGAAGAGATTTTCGATATCCATTTCTTTCGTACGCCAACAAATCTACGAATAAATTCCACCATATCTCCATACCATCCTGTACACGGCGCTGGTAAGCGAATTAGCCACAACTTATGTAATTAGTTTTATAATTAGCTCATGTTTAGTCCTTCTAATTGATATCTAAAAATTTAATGTGGCAGGGACTAAAGTTTAGTCCTGAGATCAAACACCCCCTAACTCTCGACTCTTGTTGGCTGCTCACTTGTACCACCATGTCTATATGTCTGCACGTATATATTCTAATGCCAGAACGTCTAAGATGGTCTTTAAGGTTGCCATTTGTGTATGCTGTAGGATTGGGATGAATTGCACTGATCCATGAGGGTGTCCATGAGAGTCGAAATTTTTGATGCCATTATGATGTCTAAGCTTACCAATCAGACAGAGACGAACTTAATTGTTAAAATATTTTCAATACTACTTTCATATACTCTCTCTGTCCTAAAATAGAATTCATTCTCGCTTCCCGATAAGTCAACTTTTTTTTAACTTCGATCAATTATAATATAGGTATTTTTTACATGCATGTGGCCTCAGGAGTCGACTAATTGATTGTTAAATATTACACGTATTTTTTACAAACCTAGTCAAAGTTGAGAAAGTTTGATCTGCACACATCCCATTACGACTTATATTTTGGGGCAGAGGAAGTATATGCTAATGGGAGTAGTCAACTGAAAGTCGTGATGAACACAACGATACTTTCATATTCGTTTAGGAAATTGCACGAAGAAACGCAGGGGAATGGACCTATATACGAATGATAGGAATATTCGTTTAGGAAATTGCAGAAGGTTCACCAGTCTCACCATGTATAACCTGCACATCTTTTATTTGGCACCACTGATGTTCTCAAGGAGCAGCCACTTTTTCATTTCAGGTATGCATGCTGGAAACACTAAAATATTAAGGGTCAACCTCATTGAGTCGTTTTGCTTGATCTTTGCCAATTGTTTCCTTTCATACATGATTATTGTTTCCTTCCATGCATGTGGCATCAGGTAATCGATTTGTTTCCTTCAAAGCAGGCGGGAATCGTAGGGATGATAGTTTCTTTTTCTATCGCGCGGGGTATCGCATGACCGGAAGGGATGAGTCTTGCTTGATCTTTGTCAATTGTTTCCTTCCATGCATGATTATTGTTTCCTTCCATGCATGTGGCCTCAGATGATCGATTTGTTTCCTTAAAAGCAAATGGGGATCGCAGGGATGGTACTTTCTTTTTCTATCGCGCGGGGTATCGCATGGCCGGAAGGGAGGAGCGACCCAAAAAAAAGTCGCACAAAAAAATAGTCTTACTTTTAATCTTTTTAATTGTAAGAGATAGAGCCCTTTGGTTCATAGGAGAAGTAAATGAACAATTCCTTAAGATTGCATTCCTATGGCCTAGTTTTACGGGAAAACAAGTATGAGGTCGGAGCTCTCAGAAAGTTTCCTAGCGCGAAAACATACGGCTCGCGCGCCTCGCTCGCTCGTTTCGCGCTTGTGTTTTTAGATAAGGATAAGGAAGCCCACACTACCGCTCGGTCAAGCAAAACAAAACCCTTCCCCATCGCGGGCCAAGGGACGACAGTGGCGGTCGACGAACACCCGTCGTCGGCGCAGGCGATGGCCGCCCCATCACCGGTTCACACGACGGCGGCCCCATCACCGCTGCTCAAGACGGCACAAGGCCCTCCCCATCACCGACCAACGGATCGGCCTGCCCCAACGTCGGTGACCGAATTTGCCGAACCCCATCCCCAGCCACCTAGTCCAGCACTCGTAGCCACAAACGTCGTACGGATCCATGCATCTGCGTGTTCCTCTGTCGTCCAGGTACTTTCCTTTTCCTCCATCTGCCTGCAAGTACGTTACTTTTCCCCATCTGAAGTCCCTATACGACCGCACGGACATCCCGAGGGCCAAGGCCCCAGTGGCAGTGCTGCCGACGCGCCGCTCGCCGCAGCCCCAGCTTTGCCGCGCGCCCCAAAGCTGATTTGGAGAGGAGCTAGCTGTATGTGAAGAAAGCTTTCTTGTGGTGTTTTGTGACTGAGCAAATGTGGAGATGAGCTACTTGGTCTCTTTAGGATGCAAATGAGAAGGCTGCGTTTGTATGCTGCTGCATGTATTTATAATAACTCCATGTAACAGCTAGTTGTCTGATTTGAATGCAACCGCTAGCAAAGTGTTTCTGAAACGTGTACAGAAATCGTGTGTTTTTCCAATAGTGTTGTCAAAGAGCTACGGATTCACTTTCCTGTGCTTTTTATCCCTATAGAATTGGAGGAACATAGCACATAGATTCCTATGTTTTTTCCATGCTCGTATGTTTCCTATCCTGTGATCAAAGAGGCCCTAGCTTGGACGTCATGGAATTTTTCCTGGCGGGAAACGAAGTGCGCGCCCGTGCTCAGTGCGCGTTCTTTTTTTGGTTGGCAGCTTCTCGTGAGCCTTACGTGGGCTGCTTTGGGTCATTCCAAAGGCAAACAACAAAAGAGCCAACGAATACCAGCGGAGGTTTCTGAAAGGCATTCATGTACTCCTGTGCAGCACACGTGGAAAAAACAAAAGAACAGATCTGCTAGCCCTGACGATGGATTTCATGAGAGATACCTAAAACCGAAGAGGTAAGAAATAGATCGATTTGCTGCTATCGAGGACAAGAAATTAGAGGATCCGTATGAGCAAGTTATTCGGAACCAAAATATTTCAGGCATAGATTCTCATCTTATTGCTTCCTACTTTTCTTTGTCTTTTTTGAGTTAATTCTTTTTTTAGCGCAACAAGTTAATATGGGCTATAGAGTTCCTAAAAAGTTTAGAATTTTTAAGCATATTGTTATGTAGTTTTTTTGGAAAAACATCTTATAAATTAGAATGTGATCTAAGATCCAAACAGTTTCTTCAGACGTTTAGGAGTATACAAGATTGCAATGCCAAACACAACTTAAATCCGATCCGGGTCCGTTTTTGGTATGCCTTCTGTACCGGAAGCCCACGGGCCCAGTCCATGCTAAAAAACACGGGCCCGCCCGCGCCAGCCTCTCGTACCCTAGACAATCCCCTCTCAACCCCCAAGCGCGGCAGACGCACGCGCCAACGAACGCGAGAGCGCCACCGCACGCCACCAACGAACGCGAGGGCGCCGCCGCACGCAGATATGGCCGTCGCTTCCGCGTGGGCCAAGCCTGGCTCTTGGGCCCTCGCCGCCGAGGAGCAGGACGAACTGCCCCCGCTGGCGCCGCCCGTCGTCCCCGCCGCTGACTTCCCCGACCTCGCCACTGCCGCCACCACCAAGGTCCCCAAGAAAAAGAAGGCCCAGCCCATCCCTCTTGCCGAGTTCAACACGGGCAAGTACGTTCTGCACTCTTCTCGCAGGCCCGCCTCCGAAGAGATTCCCGACCTCCCCAAGGGTCCCCGCGAGCGCACCGAGGAGGAGCTCGCGAACACTCGCGGCTTCGGGGCCGCGCGCTGGGGCGGTGCCGGAGGAGGTCCCCGTAGTTCCGACGAGCCGCGGCGCGGGGGATCAGACCGCGAGGACATCGCCCCGTCGCGCGCAGATGAGGCTGACGATTGGGGTGCTGGCAAGAAGCCCTTAGAGAGGAGGGAGAGGATGGGAGGATTTGGCATGGATTCGTCGGCGTCACGCGCTGATGATGTCGGAGACTGGGTGTCCACCAAGAGGACGGCTGTTGCCCCATTCCCTGAACGCAGGGAGCGCGTCGGTGGGGGTTTCGGAGGCGACTCGCACTCTCGCGCTGATGACTCCGCAAGCTGGGTTTCCAACAAGAGCTCTTCTGTGCCACTGCCACCCCCACCTGCTGACAGCAAGAGGGGTGGGCCAGTTTGGGGTTTCAACAGAGATGGTAGTGCTGATGATGATTCTTGGTGTAGGAGGGAGGAGATGAGTAATGTTGGTGGCAGCCGGGCTGGTCGGCCCGGTCTCAATTTGCAAAAGCAGACGTTGCCTCTTTCGAATTGCACTGATGGAGATAAGTTGGATAATACAGATGGGAATGAGGATAACAAAGAGAAGGGAGAGCAGATACCAAAAAGCAAGTCTTCAAACCCGTTTTGCGCAGCCCGCCCTCGTGAGGACGTCCTTGCTGCGAAGGGGCAGGACTGGAGGGAAGAGCCTAAAGTGGATAAGTTAGAGATTCAACCGAGAGCTAGATCTTCCAACCCATTTGGAGTTGCTCGCCCACGTGAGGAGGTTCTTGCTGAGAAGGGGGAGGATTGGAGGAAGATTGATGAGAAACTTGAGGCGATGAAGGTGCGGGAGGCACTGCTGGAGAGGTCCTTTGGGTGGAGGGGTTCCCCAGCTGTAGGAGAGGAGAATGGGAGTGCTCAACTACCAGTAACTCGGGCTAAAAGAGCTGGGAAGAAGCCTGATGCAGTTGCAGCTGCAAACGAATCTGAGGAAGGGTTTGACAATTGATATGATCCTACTTGAACTTTGATTTGTTCTGATTTTTTGACCTCTTGCATGCGTATCTTAGTAGCCATGGTTGGTCAGATCCTAAGGTTTCTTTTTTGTGTTTACTCTATGTTCTGGAAACTTTCTTATTGTTCAATTAAGTTGTTTCATGAGATGGTCATTTTTAGTCTTTGCTAGCATTGTTGTCCCTGTCCTTGTGATTACATAAGGGAATAAAATAAGCGCTAACATGTTCTGATGTTCATATTCTTTTCTTTTATGGATGTATGGATTGTTATCAGTTGCTTACATATGGCCTTTAAGTGAGGTATTAGTTAACATGCTGGAGTTTTTATTCAGGTGTAAAGTAAAAGGTGGTGTAGCTGTTATATTAACTACATCCTAGTTAATAAGAAACAAGTTATATTCACATGAAAGATAACGATTTAACTGGTCATGGTTGTTATTGTCTACTCAAGAAGGCTATTGTTTATATGATCCATGATTGAGTGGCTGGAAAATACATTCTTTAAGTATACCTGTAATTGGGTATAATGATGTTTATCTAAATGGTAATGAGATAAATGTAAATTCCAAAAGCTAAAAATGTTAAAAAGGAAAAAAAGGTATGCCTTGTCTCATTTCCTTGGTCTAAGATGTACTGAGGAACAGATATCCAGATAACATTTGATGGTTATCATGTGTTAGAAGTCTATAATTCTAGCCTGTGAATATTTTTGGGATCTGAGTTTGAAAAGAAGCATCTATATCTGAATTCTGTTTTCTCTTTTTCTGTTAGCTTAAAGTTTAGGGTTTTAAAAATTGTACTTGGAGCTGTTACACTATAATTTGCAATCCTTAAATCAAGCAATTTGCAAAGTGGGGTGCTATAACTTATTGTGACCCTGAGTCCAAACTATTGTTATTACAAGCTTTAATCTTTTAATTAATCTTACACAATGTTACTGACAGACAGAAGCCACATTATCATATCAATATCTCGTTAAATTTTCCATAGCAAACCTGTGTGTAGAATAGTGATTTACTGTTCAGGTGAAAACTCAAAATTTGAATTTTGGAAGAAGGCAATGTTGCATGTGCCGTGTCTTCTCTCCATAATTATCTTTGTTAAAATTTGGTATTAATGCTTCTTGTTAGAATAAATGCACATGATGTTTAGTAATGTAATACAAAGCATTTTGTCAAATTGGGCAATAACACAGTGGAGTAATAATGTTATTTTTTATTTTCATTTGTGCAAAGGGGTATCTTTTGGTTTATGCAATGACATGGTAACATGTGATTGTTTGTGACTTCTGACTAAGAACCGATTGTTTTACATCTTTTTACCGCATTTAGTTCTGTTGCATTTGAGACAGCAATGTCTTTGTGATCTATAGCAACTTCACTAGATCTTTTGTATTGTATATCTTATAAGTTGTGTAAGTTGTTTTTAGAAGAGTATCTTAAAATTAATACACAATATAATAGAGCATTGATACAATAATATATTATCTAAAACTTGTCTCCTATAGGGAGAGTGGAGAGGGGTTGTCTCTTTAAAAATTATAGGTACAGGAGATGAGATGGGAGATCTGCTACAGCACTCCATCTCCTAAAATGATACTTTTAGAATCTGTTTGGATCATAGCTAGATTGCTATAATTTAGATTATACACGGGACTATTATAATCAGGATTATGGATTATAATAATCTAAGTGTTGGGGTCCCTAAATTATAGTGATTTATTATGGTTTGTTAAAGTGGGAAATTTTTTATTTTGTCCATTAGTTTGGTATAAGTTGGACAACTGATTGGGGGCAAGTTTACACTTTCAGCATCCATAATCCCCTAAAACCTGGTCCACCTAGAATATGGGATTATGGAAATCTGGGGTTTTAATTATAATAATCCATCATTTAATTAACCCTATTTGGATAAAAATTTGATGGGATAGGATGTGATGGAGACGCTCAAGCTCATCTTATGCATTGTCCCTGTCCTTTGTGCAATTGATGTGTGGCTGAAATTTGTTTATGCATTGCTAATATTGTCTGACGGTGCATGTCTTTGGGCAATCTCTAGAATTTAATTTTAATTGCAGAGATTAAACGGACGGTGAGAGCAATCCAGCGAATTAATCCAATGCCACGGTCTTGGTGCACAGGCGTTTTCAGTTTCAACACGATGACAAAAACAACTACTCCGTATTATACATGTTTGTTTTTTTTACTCGCGCCGGCAGTTGTAACGCCTGTTTGGAATGAAGTGCAAACTGAAGTGAATGGAGGAACTGTTATTCAATTGACTAGTTTTGATGTACTTCCTCCCGTCTAGCAAATGTCATTCTGGTTTTGTCATGTCAAATAATCTTTTCTTACGTCAAACAATCTTTATTTGACTAAGTTTATCTCTACTTATATTTCTCCTACGACTAAAAAGAAAGAAAAGTAAGATCACTATTTTGTGCGACAATCGTCGCTCCGTCGGTCCGCCCCTCCCTTGCGATACCGCGCCGGACGAAAACCACCTGCGACCACCCCCACCCGCGATCAGCGGGCCGCGATAAAGGAAGGAATCGCGGTGACAAAGGAAGAAATTGCGAAGGCATCGCTGGGTAATGAGGAATCACCGTCGCCTTGATCTCCCCATCTGCTACCGCCAAATAGTCTAGGACCTGTCGTGAAGGCTGTCCACAGGAGTTCGTCGAGGACCGCCTCCGGGAAACGTCACGTCGCCGCCTACGGAAGGCTGCTGCTGCCGACCTGTTGTGTAAGTTGTTTTTAGAAGAGTATCTTAAAATTAATACACAATATAATAAAGCATTAATACAATAATATATTATCTAAAACTTGTCTCCTATAGGGATGGTGGAGAGGGGTTGTCTCTTTAAAAATTATAGGTACACGAGATGAGATGAGATCGGCTGTTACGGATAGTAGAGCTTATGGATCGTGTTTGATTTTATATTGATAAGTACAATGTCCCACAGATATAAGTGAAATCATCTGCTAGGTGGATATTACCGGTATAAATCATTGAGCCGATGAATCTAACGAGAAAAGATATAGCATGCAAACAAATCGACTGTCTAATATAAATGGAGCTACAAACGCTCTGAATCTAATATGTTACTATCAACAGTGAGGTTCGACCACATCGATGACAACTGTGATGATAATAACAAACTAAAACCGAAGAATCTGTAATTCCGAAAGACATGCTATGCGTGAAGGCTCATGTGAATCGGCTAAAATAACCGATTCGGGTGAAAAGGGACTACAGCGTGAGAACAATCGACTATTTCACGTGGACAAACCTATGGACTCATTAGACCTAACCTGCTATCTCTAACAGTGGGATTTGACCGGATCGATGCAGCCATGATAAAGACAACAAATCAAATCTTTAAAGTAAACAGATCTATTCACGTTCAACAAAATTATATAAACACACTGTAGGCGTTAACGCATAGGCAATCAACTATTTAGCCGATGCTGGCATAACAAACAGTTAAGGTCGCTCCTTATCGAGAACAAATCTACCAACTAGTATCCTCCAATCTAAAGTGCTATCAGTGAGGATCGACCGGATCGTTACAGCCATAATAGTGAACCGTATACTAGATTTAACTAGCCAGCAAACCTCTTCAAGATCATACGTGCCTTAACCGCGTACTATGCACGATAAGATCGAAGTAGAGCAGTCGATAAAACATAACCCGTCGCTCAAAGTAAGAATCATCGTGTTATAACAAAGCAAACGACGGACTAAAAGGATATGAGGCCGATCTAGATCGATCTCGACCGGGCAGATTGATGTTGCTGCAAACTAATGGCAATAAAAACATCAGCAAGATCGGTAACTTAATGAATCTACCTAAAGATTGCCACTCTTAGGTAGAGCCGATAACTTGACCTTGATCTAATTCGAGCAGTGGAGGTCGACCGGATCGATGCAGCCGTACTTGAACTAGATAAGAGTCGATAACTAGTTTATACTAGAGTTCGTAGTGGAGGTCGTCCGGATCGATGCAGCCGTACAAACAAAAGTGTAAGCCATGACGGTACTTATAGACAAGCTGAAGGTCGGCCGGACCGATGCAGCCCTGCTTGTTGAAGAACTCGTCGGAATCTACTCTACTTCTACTCCTAAGGGTTGGCACGGAGCCAAAAAAGGTAAATTGTATTTGATTGATTGGATGTCCCTTTACAATAGCTGGGGTATGATATTTATATTCGGAGCCTAACCATGAATGCTACTCAAGTACGACTCATTACAATATTTGGTATAAAAGAAAACATTCCTAACTTAAGATAACATGACCCTAATCTTTTCCTTTTTGTAGAGTCCTATATGTATTTTCCGACGCCAACCGTAGCCCATTATCGTTATCTGCTGACATCATTCAAAGAGAGCCGATTCCAGTGTCACATCTGAATCAACTGATATCGATCCTCATGCAATTGATTCCTTGATCGACACAATTTTGGAAGCTTTGAGTTCCCGCGTTCTTCTTCCCAAACTCTGGTGTAAACACATACCTCCCAATTTTGGGATAAAAATGATTTTATTCCAAAATTCCTGTTTATCTGTTTACCACGCCGCAACCGTTCTATTTTGAGATATACGCGTGACTCCTGACTTTTCGGCCCGAGTCTTATATAATATCCCAATAGTATCTTTCCAACTCACTCGGCCTGTTTGCTTTCCTCTTATTTTTCAAGCAAATCTTAACAGCCGACGCCACCATCGCCAAAGTCTTAACCATAGCAAATCCTCTGCCCTATTAAATTTTATTCAAGCGGTCCTCCTCAGATTCAAATCTATTTCGGTTGCAATGGCGATCAGCTACCACGTCCCTGAGCTATGCTTTCAAGTTCCCATTCTCAAAGTATTGGTCACTACCCTGTATTTCCTTTCCTCTCAAATTTATTTCATCGGATTTCTAGGAAACGAGGAACAAAATCTTGATTCCATCAGCCGTTGCTCCCAATGTCTATTTTCTTAGGCCTATGGG